TCCATGGTGAAGAACTCTTTTGAGAACAATTATCACAAGTTGGTATTGGGCATGTATCAGGTTCACAATTTAGTACTGGTAGTACTTCTAGAGTTTCTGAGAAAAGCCTAATAACTCTCCTGGAATTTGAGTCTTGCAAGCCACCTACTCCCCTTGCGTAAGAGATGGAGAACAACAAATGGAAATGCAGAAAAACTTGAATGAACCAAGCATCCCCGCCCGAAAAGGCTTCCAGTTCCAGGGACAGGAACCAATGTGCTCTTCTTTCCCCAAGAGCAGGTCTGAGAAGGAAAAGAAGTGCATTTGGGGTGAGAGAGACACTATCTCACCTGCTGCACTGTCCCCAACCTCCACTCCGGTATGACCCTCACCATAGATGGGTATGGGAAAGCCACCGCTAGTCCTGTTCAGCAAGAGGGCTAGCTCTGCAGCTGCAGTAGGGCCCACTGATTTTCATGCAACAGCTCAGCTTAAAGCTCACAGCAGGTGAAGACAGAGAAGCATCCTGCGACAGGCTAAGGACAGGTCAGGGATGGGCTAGGGAGGGGCCCTAGGCTCACACTGCCTTGAAGAGAACAGCAGTTTAGATGGTGGGTGGTGTAAATGAGCAGATGTTCAGGTAAACCTCACCTAAGCCAAAAATGTTTAAGGTGATGGATACATTAATTACCCTGATTTGACCATTACATAATGCTCTGTAACCTTGTATACATTAAACATCACAACGCATCCCATAAATTATGTACAATTATGTGTCAATAAAAGAATGTAAAAATTTTTAAAAAGGAAAGAAGATGAACCAAAAAGCTCTCCTATTTACCCTGCAAGGGAGATGCCGACTATCCAGGAGCCCCACTAAGGAAGCAAATCCCCAAAACCTACTATTACCTAAGCTGACACCAACTCACATGAGCAGTTTTTCTCCCAGGCACAGGAAGCCACTCACAGACATTACCTCACCCTCTAATCCTCACATCAAACCTGTAAGGCAGGTAGCAGAAAGTATCCTCAACTTACCCATCTGTGGGGAAATGACTACTGAAGCATTGGGAAGCTTTCCACTTTCCAAACACCCCATGGGCAGGCATCTCTGGCTTATTCTGGAATCAAGCACAGAAGTGCAAAGGGATCTCTCTTTTATCTCAATTCAAATCTGGTTTAAAATGGCCCACCAGCTGCCTGCTTACCTAACATCATTTCACTTGGGAAGTGATTTTATTAGTTACAATCCCCAAGATGGTCATAGAAACCAAGAATCCAACAAGGCACCTAGCTACCTATCTGCAAACTTTTAATTTTGTGTGAATTCTGAAAGCTGATGTAGGTTCTGAAGCTCATGAAGAATGTAAAGAATGAACAGCAAGCTGTCACAAAGTTGCCTTTCTTTCCCTGAAGAATGAAAATCTCTAGCTTCCAGTGCAAGCAAGACTTCTACTTTTGGGACTTGTGAACATGTAAAGGTACTAATGGTCAGTAAGTTTCTTCAGCCTGAAGGTTCATGGGGAATATCAAGCTAAGAAAAATTGGCTTAAGTCCAGGGAATCTCTTTTTTGCCCTCTCTCCTCTAATAGGTGGGTGCCTTCCCAGAATGGAGCTTCCTCCTCTCACAACCATACTGCCAAAACCAGACATCTGCACAGAAGGTGTCCTCTTCCCAGCTGGCTTCAGAAAGGGAGAGTTCTTACCTTCTAGATGCCTGAGACTCTGTAGCTTCCTCTAGCCTATGGATCCTCAGGCCTTCATCTCTCACCTCGGTGGGCTCCATTTCATATCTGGTTTTCAGATGTACTGCCCACTACCACCCAGGACCACCTGCCTCCCTTCCTCCTTCATCCCAGGATACACCTACCTTCTTTTGTATCCCATCCCAGTCTCACACATTTTCCTGTTACTTAACCCAGTAAGTCCTAAATCCTCAATTTCTATGAATAGTTCAATTAGACCAACACAGGTGACTGAAAATAGGTTGGAAATAATAATATAGAGTTCATTGTATAATTTTTATCATAAATATTACTAATGAATTAACATTAATAGATATGCTCAGTAATTATTCACTTGTTATTTTCTTCAGAAGAACTCTAAAACCACAAATATTTTTCAAAGTTGCCACAAGTGGTATATTTGTTGCTCAATTTAAATTCCTATAGGTGTTCCATAAATGGGACGATGGGACATAATGCATTAAACTTGAAAACACCCGATTCCATATATATACATTATTGCTAGAGCAACTTTTACATCAAATAATGAAACAATCATAATAAGGAAACCTACCATGAATACACCCTCATTTTAGAGGCCACAGCCCAACTGTAGGCTCACATGCCCTAATAAGCACTTTCAAATGATATGAGGTTCAATGTATATATGACAGTGTCTACTTCAGAGACTGCCACTTAGTACAGTGCTTGGTTCAGCCCTCCACCTACCTAATGTGACCACACCAACCACTGTAAGGTGGAATAGCTTAATTATCATTATAGTCCACCTCAAACACAGAGAAACAGCCAAGGCAAAGTCCTCAGCGTGGCTGGTTCACAGGTCAAGAAGCAATCCTAGGTACACATCCTGATCTACTACCATCACTTGTTGTAGCAGGGACCTAGATATTGTCAAAGGAAGGAAGTCTTAAAGAGCTAAGCAACAAGCTCCTCCCAAGGTAGCACTCAAGAAGGTTTTCCTGCTTGTGTTCTTGACAAAGTAATGTAAAATGTGGGCACTGTTCTCAAGAAATGCATCAGATGCATGGTTTTGTGTGAATGCACAGGTTGTGAAAGCTGGAAGTAGGTCTTTCTGCATTTGGACTTGGTCAGCAGTTTTCACACTGATCTGTGCATGAGCCTCAGGATCCGGGAACAGATGCTTTTACCTGTTCTATATAGCAGGCTTCTGATCCATGTTCCACTTCAGGAGGAGGGGGAAATATAACCCTGCAAGATCACCGACCTACTGGTCTCAAGAGATAAATATTAGAAAGAATTATTTCCTTGTTATTCTAATTCATTCACCCACCTGCCCACTAGTATTCAAAGCAAGCAGAGACCTGGGCTTAAGCCTTGTTTTAAAATGCTGGGGATGTGGCTCAAGCAGTAGCGCGCTCACCTGGCATACGTGCGGCCCAGGTTCGATCCTCAGCACCACATACAAACAAAGATGTTGTGTCCGCCGAGAACTAAAAAATAAATATTAAAAATCTCTCTCTCTCTCTCTAAAAAAAAATAAAATGCATTTGAACCATGTTACTAGAATCCTAGTTCATTCCTCAGGCAGATTCTGAGCAAACATGGAAACTTCTGACCTATAATCACTGAAAGGACTCATCATCCTCCTCTAACCAGGTGTGTAGTGGTGACAGTAGCACATCTGGACCTGGAAGGCCATCATCTCCTCCATACTACTGGTGTCTGCCTGCCCGTGGCCTCCTGTTCAGGACCCTCCTGACTTGCCTTCACAGTGCTTTCACCTCCAGCACGGTCTGTTCTAACATGAGATTTCACTGGAATTTACTTCGGAATTACTGGAGCAGAAGTAGTTTTAGATATTCCAACGATTAAGTTCTCAGGGACTGCTTGTTGGCAGAGACTGTACTTGTTCCATCTCCGGGGGCAAGGCTTGGTTCTAGAGGGATTGTTCCCCTTTCCTCCAAAGGAAATACCGATTTGAATAAACATGTGTTTAAAAGGTTTAACTCAAGTACTTGATAGCTAAACAAACAAAAATTTCTAATGAAGAGCTTATTCTGAACAATTAAGTAAAGAAAGACACCAAACCATTTAAAGATAATTTATGTACATTTATGGCTTTATACAATTATAGCAAAGATTGTTCTTGTGTCTGTAAGTACATCAGCATCATCAGGCACTTCTCAGAGGGTATCAGAACAGGGACATGGAATCTGCACTGTTACTAAACTCATGTGGAAATGCGGGAGGGCGTGACTATCCTGACGGGACTTACATGGCCACCCTGGCCACAGTGCCAGGCTGGGCCCCACCTTAAGAAGGGGCCAATTTTAATGCCAAGCTATTTGTTTGCATAAACCACACTGTACTTTTAACTGAATGATTACTCCCAAACTAAAACCTCTAGAGAAACTTCTAATTTTAAAATCAGTTATAAATTAGGAACTCTTAAGAACTAGAAGAATTTCAAGTTTGGGGTGGGAGCCTGAGGGAATATTGGTAACATATACTGAGCAGCTGAACAAGTCCAAATTGTATACCTTTGGAGAACTATTTCCATTTTAAGTATCCTTATCCTTTTCTTGGCATGTTCCACTGATTTACTGCTAACTGAGATACAATTTGCTAATTAACCTAGACTTTGTCAGTTTGTCAAAGCAGAACTTTCCAAGTAATGCATCTATTACCTAAATATAGTCCATACATCTATATTACGGAAACAATACATCTTTATATTTAAAATATCTGAATAGCTCTATAATACAATATGCTTTTAATAACAGTACAAACCAGAGGAAATAAATCAAACAAGGCTGCATAGGTGATATCATTTGCACATTTCACAAAGCAATCATGTACAATAATATACTAATTATTCCAGAAAGTCAGTATTCCTAAAGAAAAAGAACTCCCGGAGGCCACATGATGTTTACTTTCCAAATAGACAAGATGCTTTTCCCTAGACTTTTGGTACACAGAGAGGTGTGCAGGATTTATATTTGGGCTTTAACACCAAGAAAAATGGGGCATAGGTTGTAGAGTGAGCAGGACAAACTCAGGAGGAAAGTCATTCTACCAAGTAGTAAGAGTTTACAGTGATTTCAGCTGTAGATGCCTCTGCAATGAATGAACACGAACGCCGAGGCTCCCTCTGTAATGGTGAAGCGATGGTATGTGAGGGAAGGAAAATGAGAAGACACAGGAACAGAAATGAGCACCCGAGTTCTTCGACACCAACAAGTTCTATTATGTATGCAGGAGGCTCTGCTTGGGGAAACTAAGCTTTCTAAAACAAGCCATGTTTTGGAGTGCCCGAACAGAAAATGGTCAGAGGGGTGGCTGGTTAGAGTGTTTGGAACAGTAAAAATCACAGTGGGAAGCTTACAACAGAGCCGGCCTACTGCTGGAAATCGATCATGAACACATGTGTTCTTGTTAAATGTGCAGGAAAAATGAAGCCAATGAAGATGCAATTAACATACTAGGAAAAAAGCAAGGGTGGTTTAGGCTGTGTGCACAGAAACCAGAGCCTTCTCAAGAAAGCAAAAGGAAAACTGTGTGCACCTGTCCCTTTCTGGGATGATTTCAGACTTTCCACATGATTTGAAACAGACTGAATGTGAGGTGAAGCCAATTAACCTAGTCTATCAGACTCAGGTAACTGGAAAGTATTAAAATGTAATGCTCACAGTTATAGTTTAGGTTGCTAAAGGCTGAAGAAATTTTCAAATTCTTTACTTAAACTAAAGCTTTTAAAATAAATTCAAATATACAGCTTACAGATGGTTTTCCAATTAATTGCCCCAATTTTTAAACAAGTTCTATTCCATCTGGTTGTCATTTGTACTTATGAACATAAAGCATTCTAAAAAAATCACTTAAGTCCCACTTTTAAAACTTCTTCCCTTCAACTTTGCAGGACAGAAGGGAAAGGGACAGAGCGAAGACTGACATGATTCCTCAAGACAGAGCTACAAAATCAACCATCAGGACCGAAATCAGAGCAGTTGTAATGAACACTTTTACTGAAGCACAACTCAAAAAGGTTAAGCTAAAAGAAACCCCAAATTTGACAAAAGATCATTATTTTAGATGCAGGTGCCCCTTCTGATTTCCAAACATTATGAGGCCTCCCCGGAGTAACTGCAACGATGCCACACACAGGCATCTATCAGAAGACTGGACACTATGCGGCACACATAGTTCACAGGGCAAGATAAGGTGAAATTTCTTAAAAATACATACATAAAAACATATTAAGTTCTTCTAAATACGAAACACAAAGTAAGTGTCCATAACTATACATCACTTTCCTGCCCAAACAGGGCCAGAAACGTTGAGTATGCAGGTACTAATTACAATGATTTAAGATTAGTCAGAAACATCACCAAGTAGCATCCCAAGTGAAACCAGTTAAGCACGTATAAAATTAGTACTAATCCAGTTAGAAATACAAAATGAAAATCATGAGTGCTGCCCCAAATACCTGTGATTCCACAAATTTACAAGCAGACAATGTAACAAAGTAGACTCTAGTTTTAAGAAAACATTACAGTTCAATATCTATTCCAAAAATGATCTCAAGTTGCAACAATAACATCAAAAATCATTTATCTGGAAATTAGAACCATTTTAAGTGTTTGTACAAATTTGCAAATAACAAAATAAACAACAACAACAAAAATAGAAAAGACCTGTACAAGGCTGGCATTTAATCTCTTTTCCCCCCAAAGTTTGATAAGTCCATTAATTCAGCAGATTGATAACAGGCTACTTGGTTCTCATGTGAATCCTGTGGCATGTGAACAGGTCCAATGCTGTTCAATGGAGGTGCAGAATGAAGATCTTAGTTCTTTGTGATCACTTCAGCAGAACACAGGTGGTACAAACAAAAGTTAAACTTATCAAGACATGAGACCATCACAGTATTACAAAAAGAGTATAAACTTTCCTTGGACCAAATGGATATTCCAAAAAACAAAAACAAAACAACAACAAACCAAAAACACACAGATACAATTCTGTATCTACTGCTTATATACAAAACTTGAAAGCACACCAGGATCTGAAAGTCTTTTCTGCAATTATATGGTGTAGTGAGTTTGGCACTTCATTGTAATGAAATTTCCAATGGCACAGTCCTTATCTACAGCAGCACATAACCTGCAAACACTGGGCAAACATCCTGTACAGGAAAAGTGTCTTTGCTGCCAAGTCTGACGAAAGGAAAAAAGGTTTTTTTTTTTTTTTATTTTTATTTTATGTGTGTGTGTGTGTGTGTGTGTGTGTGTGTTAAATCAAGAAAACTAAAAGAGGGGTGAAGGACATCTTTGGACTGCTTCTCTCAGTTCCTGCTGTCAGACAATCTGAAGTACGTTCCTAAGTGTAGCCTAGGGGGAAAAACACAAACATACACACATATACACACACAGTGAAAATACAGCCAAATTAAAATCAATTCAACTTCACAAACTAGAGTGATACACACATACTTGGGGTGGGGTTTAGGGGAAGCTAGTGCTTTCTCAAACTGCTCTAAAAAATCATTCATTGGGAAAAAAGTTCCACTTTAAAAAAACCCTTCAGCATTTGATTTGTATCAAATGTACTCATTTGTTGAAGAGCTACTAAAAGAAGCCGTCTAACTGTCAAAAAATCTTTAAAGCAGTTAAAAAGATGCTTTCTTGTATTTTTAAGCTCAAAAGGCAAATGGATAAGCTGCAAAAAAGGGGGGTGGGGAATGGATAAAAGATGTCTTGCTGCAAGGGACAGTCAGTTGATATCAAGAAAGTCCTAACCATGGAGATACGTGGCAAATTACCGTGTTCCTCTCTTTTAAGTTCTACTCTTCAAGAGGCCTTTTGATATTGGGGTGAACTTACCTGCTCACTAACTCAGCCTGACACCCAGCTGTGTGTCGTCGTCTTGACACCGTGCGGGAAGCTTTGGTTGGGCAACACATTGTCAAAGTTAAAATCCAAGGTATCTCCATCCATGAGGTCGTTCCGAATTATGGATTCCATGTCACAGTCCAAGCGCTCAATAAACATGCCGTCCAAGTCACTGGGGAGCTTCTCCTGGTGGAGAACGCCCATCCTGCCATAGCCATTGCAGCTGCTCACTGAGGAGTAGCCACCCAGGGCACTCATCTGCATGTGGTGGGGCAGAGGCACTTGTAAAGGTGTCTTCACTGGGGTCAGGCGGTTCATACCTGATGTGTGAGGCATGGTGTTCACCGTGTGGGGCAGGGCACGCCCATTAACTGCAGATGTTTGCTGGGCATGTCCAGGGTGGGTATGGGAGCTGGGATTCATCATTTTATTATGAGATGCCTGGTTGCCATAGGCTGGCATGACTGAATTAGGACCCAACATCACATTCTGACCCAGAACCCGGCTGTTGGGTTGGGCCACCCCAGGATCAACTGATGACATAATGTCATTATGGGGAGGAGAATCAGAAGTAAGTAACTCCTTCAAGAGTCCCTGTGCACAGTTAAACTGATTCAATCCTCCATAGCTTGATTTGTTGTCCTGCAGTGTTTGCATAGGCATCTGGGACAAAGGGCTCATGCTGGACTGGCCATATGTATATTTTTGGTAGTTTGGACTGGGTGAGTTCAGACTGGTGCTTGGTGGTGCAAACGAGTAGCATGGTGTCTGCTGCATCATGTTGCCAGGTGATGACTGGGTTGAAACAGTTAATGATGTTGGGGATGACAGAAGGTTGAGATTATCCAAAAGGTTTTCCATGTTTTCAGGATTGCTTATCTCAGACAGACTGGGCAGAGTAGAAGCCATCTTTGAGGCAGATGGTGGGTACACCAGAGAATGCACATCCCCATCTCCCAGATCATCTTGTTCCGTCATAATGGGAGAAAGTCTCCCACTAATAGTACTAGCATTTGAGCTAGTTCGAGGGCGAAAGGTACTCCAGTTATCGAAGTCATCGTTGCTGTGGGAGCCAGGGCTCGCAGGCCACTTGGAAAACTGAGATCCAGGGCTGTCGCCAGCACCCTCCTGGCCAGACTGAAGGGATGCTTTTTTCTTGGCGGCTCGGCCTCGGCTCTTAGCAAATTTACTGTTGTTGTCCATGGATGCAGCTCTTCTCCTGGGGGATTTTCCACTCTTGCCTCCCTCTGGATTGAGCATCCACCAAGAACTTTTTCCAGTTCCTTCATTCTGCACACGTATGAACTTGCTGTGTAGAGACAGATTATGACGAATTGAATTCTGTAAAGCAAACACATAATGTCAGAAGTATAATACTTCTCCACTTGGAAAGTTAACTATTCAACATGTCTTATATGGAAGACAGGTAAAATTTTAGAAGAATTTATGGTACAGATTGAATCTGAACAGTCATAATAGTTCTAGACCCAATACAAAAGATCTCAAGCTGGTGTAGGAAAAATAGAACCTATATCTTTAAATTAAATAAGCATGAGTAAAAACACCTTTTTATATGGCTACATCTTATGGGGAAATTACAGGAACTGGTTTTAAAAACCACTAAAGTTGGGCAGGGGTTGTGGCTCAGTGGTAGGCACTTGCCTAGCACATGTGAGGCACTGAGTTCCATCCTCAGCACTACATAAAATAGATAAATAAAGGTATTATGTCATCTACAAATAAAAAAAATTTTAAAAAACACTAAAGTTTTGCACACTGTAATGCTACGCAAACAGTAGTGAATATCAAAGTACCATCACGACCCCTTTCCATTCCACTTTTCCTCAAATTGCTAGTTCTCTTAAAATGGAACAGGCCATTTATACCAAGTGAGAAGTTCTATTTCTATTATTGTGGGAGTGGGGAGATGAAACTAGATATATTCTCAGTTAAAACCTAGAAGCCTTAAAACTTTATACCTTGGAATTCCATTAGCCTCTCAAGTTGATAACAGGAAACAGTCAGTCTTTTTGTATTTGAGAGAGTTAACTGACCAATAAAGGAAAAATTTCCATTCAAGTAGTACCCCTCTACCCTAATAACCAACTAACTCTATGACCTTGCATTAGGAGCTATATTCTGTCCAAAAAGGTAACTGGAGAGGATAAACAGGAGTGGAGGAACACAATTCTAAATTGTGTGTCTCCACTCTTTTTCTGAGGGATATGGGAAGAGCTTAGAGGGAGCTTAGAGGTATATTGTACAGACAAACCCACAACTGCAAATATATGAGGAAAGAGGACCACAGTCTCTTAGGCTTCAGCTGTAGACAAGGAAGCCCCAATATAATTCTCCTACTCAACACGTGGCCAGACTCCTGACATTTGGGAGAGCCTATGGGAAACAAATAGAGCTTATCTGACAGTTTCTGCCCCAGCACAGTTTGGGGCACAGTCACTGTCTGTTCAAGCAGCAGCCTCAGGAGCCTGATCTCTAGTGCAGGAGCAGGACACTGAATATATTAGACCCCTGAGTTCCTTGGCCTCCTCTGCCAAATGGGTGCAAGGTTCAGCTGACTGAGAACTCTCCCTCCCTGCAGTCCCTCTCTGGAGCCACAAAAAGGCTCTGTCCGGATTTGTGGTCACCCAGGGAAGTAGGTACACTACCCATATCCTCTTGCTATTGACCAGGGGCAAGGATGCCCCCAAGTACCCACCACTGCACCAGAGCAGATCCTCTGCACAGCAGGACAGTGCCAGGTTCACACACAACCCTGAGTTCTCTTTGTCTTTCTCACTGAAGGAGGTGGAAAACAGAAAGAGGGGTAGAAAACCTTGCTTTCTAAAAGAAGACACAAAAATCAGAAGGAAGCCCAACAGTCAGAGCTGAAAAAAACACATTTCAAAATGCTTTCGGTGCTAAATTCTGTCCAAGAATTGCAGCACAGCAGCTATGTGACAAGCTCTTCTGCCAGGGTGCCCAGGTCACAGGTCAAATACAGCTGAACAAAAGCTTTCCTGGCTTGGATGCTAGGCAGGTGCATGGGCACACAGCAGTGACAGTCTCTTGTTTCCAAGACTTTGTCTTCCCGCCTATGATTTATCTCCAACTCAAGACACGCCACAAGGAGGACACAGAGGCCATAAATGATTCCCCGAAGAGGCTGAAGACTACATTTCTCTGTGTTCAATTTCATTCCCATAGATCCCCAAAATGTCACAGAAAGGCCTCTCCTCCCTCCCTCCCTCCCTCTCCCCCCCCCCCACTTCAGACTTATCTGCTATGCCCACAAAACTCTGGCAACCCAAGTTCTCAACTCTTTCTTAAAAGCAGCAGCCTGCTTGGAGGAGCACTGGAATGCAGCCAAGCGCTATGACCCTGCACCCTGCAACGCTGTCTACACACTGGAAGTCTGGGCATTTGCACAACATTCCATCATGACAGTTTTGTTCTCTGAACACAATAGACACACAGATAAGCTCAGATGAAACCTCTGGAAGAAAGGAAGCTTGACTCCTGTCCCTGTCACATTTAGTTAATGATAAAGGAGGAGAAAGATCTTCCCAGATAGCAGCTTCCTGGTTGTCTACACTGACCTGGGGAGAGTGGAGTGCAGCTTTACAATACCCAAGATGCAAGTGCAATTGAGGGCACTTTAACAAATACCACAGGAGACATCACAATGAAATCAAAAAAGTTCAAGAAGGTTCACTAATGCAGGTGGGACATATACTAATTCAGTACTCAGGGTTTTTTTTTTTTTTTTTAGGCCATAGCAATCCCTTACTTATCAAAACATCATACTGCATATTTTTCTAAGAGGACATTTCAGGTCACTCTTTGAGTAAGAGAGCTGTCTACTAACTCTGCCAACAATTAAAAAAAAAAATTTTTTTCCGAACAGGAAAAGGTTCGCTGTGCAGGGCTTGCTACATAAATTCCTGTTTTTCACACAGCCAGCAGGACATTAAAGAAGCTATGATTTCTATGGGGCGGGGTTTGGAAAGATGAATCTTGTAAAAATATGTGCTGCTATTACTGATGTTGTGTCTGTTCTTCTGTGTTGGACAAGAGTGTTATTCACACATGGGACTGTGGCAGAACCATCTGAGACTGCTGGACTCTGAGACACTTTGCTTTTGAACTCCCAACAATTCTTACCTGAAGAAAAAGGCAATGGGTGAGGACCAAGACTCATGTACTACAATCACACAAATCCTGTGTTTCTGCATGATGCTATCAGAGAAAGAGCCAATACTCAATAAACGTGTGCTGCTGACTGACATCCCCAAAACATTAGAGAGGCATGATGTCTTACATACACGCCTCTTATGTATCATTCATGTAGCAATTAGTGCCAAACCACATTGGAACCTATACCGTTCTAGGAGTAGAGAAGGACACAAGAAGGATCAGACAGAGTCTGCCCTCTGTAAGTTTTATGACCTAAGAAGAGATCAAATGACACACATAGGACTGTCCAGGATCATTGACCTTTTTTACTCCAAAGCTGTTACCCCCACACACAGCCCAAATACCCTTTTCTTCTGAAAGCATTTCTTGATAATCCATACATCCAGCAGCTCTGTAACACGGGACACCTTGCTTAGCCAGTTTATGCCTCTGCTATGAGTGGCCCAGGGCATCTGGCTCCCCATGCACTGTGAACTGTTCATGTGAACACAGGAGCCTTGTCTGTCTTCCTGCGCCCGATCTCCTCACAGCACCATCACCAAGTAGGCACTCAAGCATCTGCTGGACAGACTCATAGCTCCTACATTGACAAGGCTTTGAGAAGATTTAATAAAATAATACGTGTAAAATGTTTGCCTCAATCAAAATCAGTGATGTTATTGTTATCACTACCAGGATAATGGTATCTACAGAATAATCTGTTTTGCAGACTTATCTATATTATAAATGTTGGTCTCATTTCCTTATAATCATACCTTCCACTTTTCCCACTAACATGAGGCTTTTATGTTCTTTACTTGAAAGACTGGCTGGTCTGGGAGAAAAGCTATGGTATTTTCTTTACCCACCAGGTACTGTCTCCGTATTTGCTGACCAATGGCACCAGAATCCTCAAGTATCCTTAAGGCACTGCTACTGTGCCTCACATGCTTGCTGGTACTCTGGACACGGGCAGCATGCGTGAAAAAGTAGCAGCAGGTATCATAGCAGGCTTTTCATGGTCTCTGTCAGAGACTCCATGGAGGTCGTTCTGAGTAAACACCACTGTGCTGTCCTACCACCCAGCCAAAGGAGCTAGGCACTGAGGGGGACCTCCAGAGACTCCCTGAGAACACAGGACAAAATCATTTTATACATGTCCTGCCCAAGGTGCTCTTAACCCTAACCTAAAGCCAGCCATTGAAGTTCAGGAGGCAATCTTTACAAATTTTATTTACTTTGATTCATTGGTATTTATTAATTTATGCAGTACTAGGTATTGAACTCAGTCAGAACTTGCCCATGCCAGCAGATGCTCTACCACTGAGCTACATCCCCCTGCACCTAGTTTAAAATTTTTAACTCATTCTTCTAAAATTCATATTCAAGAATGTGTTATATTAATGTATAAAATATATTTGAATTATATAAATAAATCTTGTGTCAAGGGTATATGTGCTTTTTAAAAAAAAACCATTTAGAGACCGCTAGTGTATTATAATAGACTTCTAGGAGCCTGACACTCCAACTAAGACCAAGAGAGCAGAACCAGCCTTGAGTGGAGTCTAGAATTTCTCTGCACCTTCTATCATCCCCACCCCACCTCCAAGGCCTGGTTTTGAAGGGCGTGGTCTTGCCTTCTATTTGTGGCTCTTTGCTCCTGCCATTGAGAGCTGAACTGGGCCTGATCTTCCGGGACACTTCTCTTCACCCTGGGCTTCTCTGATCCCAGGTTCCCTGAGTCTTGCCCTTTCACCAAAGCTACCAGCTCAGATGCCTATATGGAGACTACCACCTGCCAGCCAGGGTATTATGACTGGTGCTCTATTCCACGTTTCTCCTTGGCAATTTTAAGAATATTCTGGTTTCTATTTTCAATCAAAAATATGACAAAACCATCAACTTAAGCAGAACACATCATGTTCATTACAGTCTGGCTTTCAAGCTTATGTAGCATAACATATGTTCTACTTTATAATTTACTGCTGTCAATTGATCTCATCCTTGGAACAACCCTATGAAGCAAGTATTATTGACCCCACTTTAGTAATGGGGAAACTGAGGCATGAAAAGTTTATTTTTCCAGTTAAGACCTCAAAACAAGTTTGTGTAACTGTACCTGTAACACTGCTGCTGGTTGACAAAATCACCTCTTGGGATTTGC